AGCATGAAGTCTTTGACACTAATGGGCCATGCACACTCTTCCTTCACCATCAGTGCAGTTACATGAGGAAGGTGTTTAGCATACTGCATCAGTAACATAGAATCATGGAAAATAACTTTAGAATCATTGAATCCAACCGTTAACCTAACACTAACACCACCAAGTCCACCATTAAACCGTGTCCCTAAGCACCACATCTACAGGTCTTTTAAATACCTCCAGGGATGGTGACTCAATCGCTTCCCTGGGCAGCCACTTGTAATGCTTAATAACCCTTTTGGTGAAGACTTTTTTCCAAATATCCAATCTAAACCTCCCCTGGCACAAATTGAGGCCATTTCCTCTTGTCCTAAGACTTGTTACTTAGGAAAAGAGACCAATCCCCACCTCACTACAACCACCTTTCAGGTAATTGTAGAGAGTGACAAGGTCTCCCTTGAGCCTCCTTTTCTCCAGGCTAAACATCCCCAGTTCCCTCAGCTGCTTCTCATAAGACACGTGCTCTAAACTCTTCACCAGCTTCCTTGCCCTTCTTTGGACAAGTTCCAGCACCCTATAGAATCACAGAACCATAGAATGGTTTGAGTTGGAAGGGACCTGAAAGATCATCTAGTTAAAAACTTAAGAGTTCCCTACTCCTACAAGCACCATCATATCCTCAGAGACACCCTCAAGAAGGGATCAGCAGCCTTTACACATCCCAAACACCACTTTTATCCAAGAAACTTTGCACTTTTCAGGATTCTTAACCTTATCACCAGGTTGTTCCAAGTGTGCCCTTTATACAAATTATCTAAACAGTGTCTTCATATACATACAGAATATCTTCATATAGTCCTCCATTCCAGCTTATGGCTTACACATCCTGATCCAAAATGTTTGAAAAATAAAAGGCTTGGAAATGTTAATAGCGTTGGAATAGATGCAGGGACATTTTGGACAAAGGACAGGCAGAGCAGGTAGCTGGTGTATTGTTGAGGTTGCTGGAGAACTTTTGAGACATTGGGTTGGATCTCTATGAGATGAGTTGTGAGGGTGACTGCAAAGAGCTTGAGACAAAAGGGGAGATCTGAGGAGTTAATGCAAGCTGAATGTGCATGGCGATGGTATATGGGTACAAACTAGGCTGTGAGGTCTGGTAGGAACGGCGGAGTTGGTAAGCTGTTGTATTTTTATGAGGAGACTGAACACTGACTGATGGAAAGATTTTTCATGGTGTACTGGGACCTACCGCCTTTCTTTACCATCATTTCTCCTTCCTCTGTATCCTTGGTCCAGTAAAGAATCTTCCCAGTAATAAAGAAAGAGGATGTATAGTGAGATAAGTGGTCAAATGCAGCCATCCTGGGAGCTCAGCTGGGAAGTGGGAATTGCTATGTGACACAAGATAGCCGATACATGCACCAAATAAATTATGAAGTTAGGTGGGAGAGAAAGTAAAGGGGAGATTGTACTGGGAGAAGAAGTCTCCATAATGTAAAACCTCAGGCTAGTTTTTTTCAGAAGATATACTCCCACATCAGCCAAAAGCAGAAGTATAATTCACTGCAACTTAGTTCCTCCCCAAAGGCAGATGAAGCGATATGGGTCAATTCCTTCATGTACAAGGAAACTCAGTAATGTTTATCACAACTATTTCCTCAAGAAAACATTCAAAAGTAGTCAGATACCTGAACTAACAGTGTTCTTTCAAAAACGGATAGAAGCAGGGCTCAGCAGACCTATGTCTTAGTGACAGTGTCTTGGAAGGGGAGTGGGGCATTAAATCAGGCTGCAGGGTCATGTAATGTAAATCTTTTCTCGGATGAGGTCAAAACTGCATAAATTCAATGGCTTCAAAACTGTACCCGTAATAAAAACAATTATAAGACTGTTGTTTTTTATAAAGTCTTGAATGAAATATCCAAACAGACAGAACTAAAGTTTACAAACTCACAACAGCTGAAATTACTTGCATTTTATAGATGTAGATCATACAAATGTGTTCACATCACTATGCTAGGCAATAAACTTAAACACAGGAACAAGGATTACTTTTGCATGGAAAACTGATAAGGAGGTCAGAATAGCCAAAATAATACCTCATAGAGGACATCTGATTCATTGGGGCAGATACCTTAATGCCTAATTAATAAAGAACTGATCCGAATCATATTTAGAGAAATCTGGACAATTCATCTCTGCTCTAATAATGGAACCAGAGATAAAGCACCTAAAATCAACAAAGAGGTTTCCACAAAGTAAAATATCTCCCAGTCTAAAGAAATAACCTTGAGTAGAGCAAAGTGAGGGAATGGAGCACTACTTTTTAAAGCTAAACTGATATTTCAGTTCACAGAAAATCACCATGTACTTGAATGGCCATGGTCTCTAGCAGTGCTTTCAAGTCCAAATGCAGGTTCTCCTGGGAATAGTCCTATCTTGAAAGGAAACATAGCTGTGTTTAGTGTGCCTTGTGTGCCCCTTCTTTACTTTTGGAGAGCTTGAGGTAGAGTCCAGCTCAGTCCTGAAGAAAGAGGAAGGTCACCCAAAGAAGTGATGCAACCACAACATTTGTTCATTCTGTTTCACTAAACAGTACTTTGCTTCACTAGATCACACTGCTGTGCAGATTTTTCTGACCCTAGAAACAGCATTGATTGGAGTGATAACGAGTTGAGAAATGGTGGGCAGGACTGAGATAGTCACAGCAATCACAGCAGATTAGTCCTCAAAGGGAGATTCAAAAAAAAGCTCAAAAGTACTTTGAAGTGTTTTAAGTGTTTAATTGTGCATTTCATTGATGGATCCAGCCAGCCTTCAAGGTTATAGTGGCAGAAGGTCTGTTCCAGACACACAAGGATCAGAATCTGAGCACTAAGACTAATTCTGTAAATTACTCGGAGCTTAAGGTAGCCCAGCTGGCATGCTGCATTGAGTTGGCTCTATGTCCTTCCTTCATACACACATAATCTGCCTAATGTTCAGCTACACCATGTTTTCCCATGGACAAGAAAGGGCTTGGGGTCCTCTGATCTAATTCAATCTCTCTGTTCAATAGGCATGGAAGAAAAGAACCCAAGCAGACACCATAACTTTATTTTTGTGTGTGTGTCACTCTTGAGAAACCTTGAGATGCCTTTTAAAAGAGGTTGCTGCTCCATAGGTATGTGCTTAGTGAATTTCTGTGTGTAATTCCCATTAAGTCAGCTCAAGTTTTCTCAAAACAGCTAGTAAAATATCACTAATCATCATAACAAACCTTTGCCACCACATAACTGGTTCAAATGGAGATTAGGAATAGTGCTCTTGAACACCAGAAATTTTGGGAAACACTAAAGTGACAAATATGCTGAGCCTGAGAGGAATTAGCGTAGTTCCCTTTTTATGGTGCTAACCTGTTGATTCATGCTAGCTCATGGTATGGCTTTTCACAATAAAACAAGCAGATTTTATATGGTTCAGGAGAGAGAGAACCAGGGTTGTGAGACTGATCTCTACCAGGTGAGAAAAGCAGCTCACATTCAGGAGAAGAAATTAGCAGAAGGCTCTTGACACTATGGAAAGTCATGAAGGATCCAAGCTGGTCATCTCTTAAGTAGCAACTCATCCTGCTAGAAAAGCTCAGACAGAAGTTACACCATTCTGACACACCGACGTTTTCCTTTTGGGACTGATTTTTTCAAGCAGTGATAACTGAGTGACGTAGTTGACTGGACTGTTTTCTCTGGACAAAGTCCCATGTTTGTGTGTGAAGTTCAGGTATTCTTGATACCGTCGTTTGCACAGTTGTTTCTTCAGTTCACTTTGAACCTGTAGAAAAGAAATTTAAAAACAAAGAATCAGAAAATTAAGACTTAGTGGGCACTGAAGGTAAAATATGCCAAAATGTCTGCCTGACTACTTAGCCCATATGCACAAGGGCACTCAAATCTATCAGGATTAAACCTTAACATATTTTTAGAGCTTAAACTATGTCCCTATTCACTTTTGAAAATAAACAGACTTAATTTCCAAAATTCAGAGGATGACGGGATTTTTTTTGACTGCAGTTTCTTTGTTGATTGTTGTAGGTTTGCTTCATAAGTATTTCTACCTTTTTGTATAATTTCTATTTTTCCTCATAATCTTCTGCGCCTCCTTGCTGTGACCTGCCATGTACAATAAGGGTCCTTCTCCAGGCTTTCAGTTTATCCAGAAGGAAATCCCTCTTAAAGATCCTTTACTGACTCTGAAAGATATTGAATCAACTTGAAAACATATTACATTTGAGAGAGGTCTCGAGATCCTCAAAAGCATAGGCAAAAGCTGATTTTTTTACCATCTGACACACAACTAACAGGTAGGTTGAACAACTCTGCATGTCTATGGCCTGCTATTGACACTACTGGGACCTGGGTGAGGAGACAGTGAGAAAATAGGTTCTGCTTCCCTACATAAAGCAGCTCACACTCAAAGATGTAGCAGAGGGAGAGCAAGTAGGTGCAGGAAACACTCAGTCCTTGCCACCGTTCACATGAGCAGTTTGCTCCTGTGGATTAATTGCTCACTGTGCCCTGTTACCTCTGTTCATGTTCAGCTTCATCTCCATCTGGTTCTCCTGCAAAGGGGTGGCTCTCCTGAATGTCTGCAAAGTAATTTACAAATGCCATCCTAAACTAAGATATGTCAAATGCTTCTAACCACATAGCTGCCATCTGCTGTGGCTGTTATTAGCCCTAAAAATCTGTGACAGTGCCATAGTTGTAACACCATTAACAGAAGCCCACTCCAAACTAAACTTAGAAAGAAACTGCTACGTGAAACTATTAATACTTACAGGTGATACATGTATGGACAAAACTATTAATTCTTACAAAGGATATACGTAGGAACAAATGTGATTTAAGTACTTTGAACTTAGGAATTAGAATCATAGAATGGTTTGGGTTGGAAGGGACCACAAAGATCATCTAGTTCCAAACCCCCTGCCATGGATAGGGACACCCTCCACTACACCAGGTTGCCCAAAGCCTCATCCAACCTGGCCTTGAACACTTCCAGGGATGGGGCAGCCACAGCTTCTCTGGGCAACCTGTTCCAATGTCTCACCACCCTCTGAGTGAAAAATTTCTTCCTTATATCCAATCTAAATCTCCTCTCTTTCAGTTTAAATCCATTGCCCTTTGTCCTATCACTACACACCCTTCTAAAAAGTCCCTCTCCAGCTTTCCTGTAGGCCCCCTTTAGGTACTGGAAAGCTGCTATAAGATCACCCCGGAGCCTTGTCTTCTCCAGGCTGAACAGCCCTGACTCTCTCAACCTAATTCATCTAGTAATTCTGTTATCTAATCCTCTACCAGGTACAGGCTCTACAGCAACATACAGAAAGAAGGGTGGGACATGCAGAAGTACATCCTGGACATCAGGGCTCCCTGAAAGTCACTGGCAATGTTTACCTCTGAGGTGTCTGTTATTCTGCCTTTATTCTCTCTGTTAACCACACAGACATGCCAACCCCTGTGTGCAACTTCAAGTATGGGCAGAACATGCCTTCTGGAGCTTTCAAGACTCTAATAAACAAAAGGAGACTTCCTCCACCAAGCCACTACTCTAGTACTATCCCAACATGCTCAAGGCCCTTCAACACTCCTGTGTACCTTATTCCAAAAACCAGGACATGCAATACCAACCCTCAGTTTCATCCCATACAGATACCACCCTGCTCGGCAGCAGCACGGTCTCTCACATTGTTGCAGATACTTGACACTGAAGAAACACGTGCACATAAAATATTAATTATTTTTTGTGATTTCAGGGAGCCATAACATGCAGGAAGGATCCACTGCCAAGCTATAATGAGTGGCAAATCTGCTCCAGAAGCAGTTATCCCTGAAAAGCATGGATACAAGCCAATGCATAACACCTAATCTTGGGGCCACAGATCACTCTCTGCCTGTTTGTTTTTTAACACCTAGTAGATTTGTGTGTTGATAGATACAATCTGCAAGCTATTTAAAAGCTGTTGGCAAGGATGCTATTCAGACAGAAGGCAGGTGGGAAGTAGAGCATTCTGTATTTGCAGTTAGTCTTGAAGGCACTCTCTCAGAGCAGCATTAGAATGGCCATTATAAATTATTTTCATAAGTAGCAAATGTATTTCAGGCATCATTCATCCTTGGGTAGGATTAATTTCACCTACATTTAGCCACCTCTATGAGAAGTGTCTGGTCTAAGCCAGTGGAAAGACTGAGACACTGTTAGTGGGTCATTCTTCTCATCTAACCTACCCACTTTTCTGAGGATGAGATGTGTTTTTACATTTTCTCATGGCTTTTGTTTCATTCTGCTCTTTTGGGGAAAGAATAAGCAAATTTAGTTAGTTTTTATAGTGTTAGGCTCTCTAAAATATACTACAGGGATTTTATTAAAATTCTAACAATGTTAAAAAAAAAAAAAAACAAGAAAGAAAGTGTTTGAACAAAACAACTGAAAATGTACAGGCTGCCCTGGAAAAAGGAAAGGGAGAGGGACAGGGAGAGGGGGAAGGAGAGGAAAAGGGAGAGGGAGAGGGAAAAGGAAAGAGAAAGGGAAAGGGAAAAGGAAAGTGCAAGGGATGAAACTCACTAAGAGAAAATAAACCTAAAGAAAATGAAGTGTTACAAGATCTCCATTGAGACATTATTATCATGATAACTATCAGACATAAAGCAGGGAAAAAAAATCCTCTGACAGGAAAATCACCAACCATTAGTAGCGAGTCCTTGCTTCAAAGCTTAGTTTGTGTCCTTGTATCAGAACTTTATGAATACAAATAAAGTCAACAAAAGTACCAAGGGAAAAAAAGATGCAGGTATTTCATGCTTTCAGGAGCAAATTAAAGCACGGATCTGTTCTGGAAATAAGGAAAAAAATAGAAAAAAACAAGAGAGGCCCATGAGTTTAAAAGGTTTTGATAATCTTATGTATGTGCTACTCACCTCTGCGTTTGAGAAGCAATATAGAAGAGCGACAACAAAACCCTAGGACAGGGAAGGTAGGGAGAAAAAAGTCAACCATCAGGATTTAAAGCATAGAATCCGAGAAAGACATAAAGTTTCATTCAAAATTTGAATAAGACAGCAAAAATACATATTTTCCATTGTTCCACTGGAATTTAGCTAATGTGGTGCTATTTATTGCGTTTTCTTAATAGGATTAAATTCCTCAATGAGCTGGCAACACTAGATGTATATTATTGTCCTTGTACGGAGACACTAAGGACTAACTTACAATTTACTGTATCCTACAAACAAGTCCTTCCTCAGATAAGGTAGTAGGGATCTCTGTCTTATTCTAGTCTATTTCTACAGTAGTGAATAAACTGGGTGAGGACCTGCTCTTGTTTTACATCTTTACTGCTAAACTACAATCTTGGATATCAGGGCTCCTTGAAAGTCACTGTCAATGTTTACCTCTGAGGTGTCTGTTATTCTGCCTTTATTCTCTCTGTTAACCACACAGACATGCCAACCCCTGTGTGCAACTTCAAGTATGGGCAGAACATGCCTTCTGGAGCTTTCAAGACTCTAATAAACAAAAGGAGACTTCCTCCACCAAGCCACTACTCTAGTACTATCCCAACATGCTCAAGGCCCTTCAACACTCCTGTGTACCTTATTCCAAAAACCAGGACATGCAATACCAACCCTCAGTTTCATCCCATACAGATACCACCCTGCTCGGCAGCAGCATGGTCTCTCACATTGTTGCAGATACTTGACACTGAAGAAACACGTGCACATAAAATATTAATTATTTTTTGTGATTTCAGGGAGCCATAACATGCAGGAAGGATTCACTGCCAAGCTGTAATGAGTGGCAAATCTGCTCCAGAAGCAGTTATCCCTGAAAAGCTTTCACCCACATTCTTTCACCCACATGACCATGACTGTGTTCTAAGAACCTACTGGGAAAGCTCTTGGGTTCGTATTCACCCAGAGCTATAGTCAGGCATTGTTTAGGAGAGTGTTTGTCAGCCAGGAGCCCAGTCATTACACACACTGTGCTAACATGGGCAAACACTGGACAGTGCTAGGCTACAGCTGTGTTAGTAAACCCAACAAGTCACAGCCCTGAATACTGGTCTTTGCTTCTTTATGTCGTTAAAATGTCAACATGGTCCGTGACACAGCTTTCACTTGGGCCAGCAAGTATTTTCCCAAACAGACTCCGGCTATAGTTGAGATGCAAGCATAGAAGAGGGATCATTTTCAACAAATACCGACTTGAACAAGCTGTTGTGGGGTACGAGGGAAAGGAAAAAGACCTCAGCTATTTATTACAATGTGTACCATACTCAGGCTCTGGTCCTCTCAAATCCAGGACATTGTTCTGAACAGTGGTATAGTAAAATAAAAGAAATGAAGAAATATTAACTTGATGGATTCATTACAGCGAAAGCCTAAGGGCAGAGCAGATTGTTACACATTTATTTTTTTTTCAGTCCTCTTATCATCACCCTCATTATATATGGAATTAGTTTCAATCAGTTCACCTTAATCCATAGACTGGTCTTCCTGGTACTCAGTAACGGTTATTGAATAAAGGTAGATGTATTTTTTTGTGTGTGATTATTAATATGAAGTCTGAGTCAAAACTAGCATGAGATTTCAAATAACAAGATAAAGCAAGAAGCAACAGAAAGAGCTTGCAAAGGATTAAAATGGAATGTGTGTGTTGAATTTAGACACATTACTGACATCTGCTCTAATAACAAACCTAAAATGTAAAATTCTTGAGAGTGTGGTGTTTCAGCCCAAACCTCCTAGGACTGATAAACATTTTGTCCAGCTTACCTGAAAAGAACCTAAGCCCAACTCAATATAAAGGCGAGCTTCCAGACCAGTGCTTTCTGGGAAAAATGCAAATACAATGTAGTGCACTCCAAAGAGGGGGATCAAGAGTAACGTGGATTTAGCAAGTCTCCTGGCAAACCAAGAATTAAACAATGCACTGTCAGAAATACGGAATTAGTGATAGCAATCATTTATCGGAAAATATTTGAGTACAGAGGACAGCTCCATAATGGAGGCAGCTACATCCGACAAAGTTATGGAAAGATTACTTTCTGCCAGTCCCACTGTCAAGATATGGTGAACAAAGATGAACAAATCAGCATACAAGTTTTCTGGATCGACCTTTAAGGGTTCTTGTCGCTGCCATACAAAAACAGGGACACCAAACTAAATACTCTGATTTACTCTCCTGAGGCTAATCTCAATCACGTGTAGACATCCCCCATATAAAAGCCTCTACTTCCAAACCTGTCAGTGGAGATCTGATCATCACTGTCCATAGGACTTGCTTCGGTTGCTTAAACAGTGGTGTGAGAGCCACTGATGATATCCTAAGGTATTCTGCAGGGCCTTCAGCTCACTCCAGAAAGGCACAGGTTTACGCGCGGTCCCGTGCCGTAACTAACAGCTGTACCTACATATCTCAGGTTGAATCAAATAGCTCGCTAGAGTCCTCTGACTGCATTGATGAGACCCCCATTGATTGTGAAGGGGATCATAAACAGGAAGGACTGGGTTCTGTTACCAGAACACCAGCATTGTGTTACTGCTAAGAATTTAAAGGAAATTATTTGCATCTTTCTCAATGTGGCCATTTGTGTGCAAAGGACTGGAAGCAAGATGGATGCATTACCTGGCATTTAATGTTTACACTTCCAAGCTGGGTCCTGTTGGAATAGTAATACTTTATATTTTACTTTTCACAGAATCACAGAATGTTAGGGATTGGAAGGGACCTCAAAGGATCAGCTAGTCCAATCCCCCTGCCGGAGCAGGACCACCTAGATCAGATCACACAAGAACGCGTCCAGGCGGGGTTGGGACATCTCCAGAGAAGGAGACTCCACAACCTCTCTGGGCAGCCTGTTCCAGTGTTCTGTTACCCTTACTGGGAAGAAGTTCTTCCTCATGTCTAAGCGGAACCTCCTATGTTCCACCTTATACCCATTTCCCCTTGTCCTATCATTGGATGCCACTGAGAAGAGCCTGGCTCCATCCTCATGACAGTCACCCTCTACATATTTATAAACATTAATGAGGTCCCCCCTCAGTCTCCTCTTCTCCAAGCTAAAGAGACCCAGCTCCCTCAGCCTTTCCTCATAAGGGAGATGCTCCACTCCTTTCATCATCTTTGTGGCCCTGTGCTGGACTCTCTCCAGCAGTTCCTTGTCCTTCTTGAACTGAGGGGCCCAGAACTGGACACAATATTCCAGATGTGGCCTCACCAGGGCAGAGTAGAGGGGGAGGAGAACCTCTCTCAACCTACTAACCACACCCCTTCTAATACACTCCAGGATGCCATTTTCTCATTATGCCCAACACATCCACCCCACCCTCTTTCCCCTGAAGAAAAAGAGATGTGATTGATATTTGGGATGAAAAGGAAAGTTTACATTGTTATTTCATCTGGGCATTTCTCTTTCTATTAGTAAGGAGTAAAATATTTTGTGCTCCTGCGCATAAAACACCTCTTACAGCAGCTAGAACAAGTCAACATAAAGTGACCCAGAAATACTTACACAAAGTGGCTTGAATGGCTCCCTCCTCCCTCCTGAGATTTCAATTTATGGACTAGAGTTCTGATCACATTAATAAATATAACAAAGTTAATCTGAAAAGACAAGACAAAATCTGTAAACTGTACAACAAAATCTGTAAAAAAATACAAATCAGGACATATCTTCAGTTGATATAAATTAACTAACAATCCCCAGTCATAAGAATTGCACTACTATAAAACAGTGCAGATCTGGTCTCAGATCAATTCAATAGTATTAGAAATATTATTCATTTTCCCCATCAATATACAGTTATACATCAAGATATGTTGAAAGTTGTGTTGAATTAATATAGACCTACATATCTCAATATCTTTTAATGTCTGATATTAAATCCTTGTACTTATTGTCAGCAACTAGCAGATCTTACATGGTCTAAATAGTCCTTCCTGTTCCCTTCATTGTTTATGATGGGTCTCTAAAAGATACAGTCTTAAATGGTGTACTGTTTCCTCCCAAAATTTAGATGGAATAAATGTGTGCATAAGGGAGATTTTTTGTCATAAGTTTACATCCAAAGAACTAATTTTAAACATATACTAGATAAAATGATTTATACGTATTTCTTGTATTAAACTAGCTCCATATTCTAAGAATCTTGCCAGTATGGATTGCCATTCTTCAGAAATGACTTACAGAGACATAGACACAACTGTAGCATGTGTGATGGAGGTGTCAGGGTGATTCCATTATGTCCTAACATGACTCTAGAAAATATAGCATTTACCCTTTAAGTTATAATTTAGGATGTTTTGGGAGGAAGAAAAATCAATAAAACCAGCAAAAACTACAATGGCAAAACCACATGCTATGCAATAATTTCCAGCTGTTTGAAATCCAGTACCATAGCACGTGCTAGTGCTTTCCTCCCAGCTTACTGAGACCCTAACTTCGCTTTCACGTTTCAAAAGACACTCAAGACAAAATGAAAAAACATACTAATACAGTTAGCACAATGGGGCCTTTGATGATCCATAACACCACTCCATTTTCATCATCATCCCAACATCTGAAACAGCAAACAAAACCAGTCATGTTATCTACCCTATGTGAGCTTTTCACAACACATGAAAATATGTCTGTCACAGAATAGGAAAATGATGGGACACAAAGTTTCAAAACACTGTTTAAAGGTCTTTCCCAGTACTGATATCTCCCTAAAAGATTCTCTGTAGCCCCATCCAAAGGAAGTTTATTCAGTAAGAGGCAAGGGTTAAAGAACCAAAGTGAAGTCAAGAGACGTATATTTATATTTTCAGACTTCCTGCTCTTCTGTTGAAAAAGTGACTGGTTTATAGGGTGCAGATCAGAGACCAGACTACAGTGCATCCACCAATGTAATGACTTTGGAGTCATGAGGAAAGTAGGCAACAAAAATCCAGACTCCTAGTAAAGGTACCCTGAATGGAGAAAGCCGAGTGGGCTTTTGGTACTTGTTTTGAGGCTGTGAATGTATTTAACATCAAAATCAGCCCAGTTTTAGCTCCCTCCACTCAAGTTATATCATGTTCCCTGTTCCTGAAAGAAGAAGCAAGGAAAACAGGATGTGTGGCATGTGGTGGACCATGGAATTTACATTATTAATTCGAGTCCTGAGCAGTAAGGTGTCAAGTAATAACTTTCATCCATGTGAAATGACCTGAAGGCCTTCAGGGCAGCACTTAGTAAACAATCATCTGCTTTATACTTGGCTCCCATACTAAAAAATAAAAATAAAAAATAAAAAAATAAAAGACCAAAGAGCTGAATGGAAATGAAAGAAGAAACTACTTATCAGGACACAAAAATGCTTTTGGTTAGGAAGTACTTATTTTAAGAGATTAGCATTAGTAATTTATGATTGATTTTAAACATAAATGATGATTTTCTTATAATTATTTCAAGGACTGAGCATTAGGATATTAAATGAAATTTTAGTACTTATTAGGATATTTTCAGTTTTTATTACTCCATCACAGTCAGAAGACTAAAAATTATTTTCTCACTTACTTGTATATGAGGTTTAAGGGTTAAAGACATAACTTTGGAACAAATTTTTTTTCTGATGTGTTTTCAATCTCTATTTTTCCCTATCAGAATATCAAAATACGATACAAAATAGGACGTCCTTGATTTCCTTATCCAGGCTCTGACTTACCCTGTATTTTGTCGATGGATTCTTGTGAGGACCCAAGTAAACGTCACAGCAGTGGGAGCCCCTGGAAAAAATAACACAGAACATAATATAATTGTTTTGAATAACACGTCCCACAGAAACTTTATTAAAAGAAAGTTCGCAGTGCAGTAGATTGGATGCACATTAAAGTTCAGACAAGGGGCCAGAAAGTTTTAAATAGGCTTATGAAAGAACTTAATTTGCAGTTCATGGAAAGAAAAAAAAAATGCAAAATAAGGCAGGAGAACAAAGTCAAAAAGGAGAATAGAAGATGTTGTGAAACTATGTTTTCAAAAATAACAGCTAAGAATAACTTGGAGGTTTGGATATGAATTATGAGCACTTGTGAAGTTGGAGGAATCACTTATTTAGCTAGAGGTCTTTCATCTTATGAATTGTGGCCAGAATAAAATTCTTTGCAAAACTAGCTGGAAGAGTTCACATTTTTGGCCTGAGGAGTCATCAATTGATGAGCATTCCATGAAAATTTAGCTAAATCCAGGAACTAGTGATTTCTAGCCTCGCTTTGTCACTGCTTATCCTTCTACATTTATGACTGAATAGTTATTTCCTTTTTTTTTTTCCCCCAAGCAGACCTAGAAATTAGTAATTTCTTTTGCTCTCCTTCTGTGGGATTGAATTTCTAAAGACTAAGTGACTTTCAAAGTTGCCATAAAAGGGACTCTAATCTGAAACAGGTGACGTTTTCACTGATAAATCTATAGAACTGTAAGTAATATCTTTCTAAGGTTCATTTGAGATCTGTAGGAAATGCCCAGAACTTGTCCTGTCCAATTTTAGACCTTTGTTCAAGGCCTTTAAGCTGGGACCATATTCAGTTCAAGCTGTCTTTTCAGTTAATGAACAGAAATATTTACATCCATGTTACCTGAGATCTGAGTTATCCATGAGATGTCTCTCACTTTCCATTGATTATAGAAGGAGATAAGGATTACTACATTATTAATTGAGGTGTTTCTTTTGTTATCTCAAATTAGCTGTGATTAATCAAGGTCTAAGAATCTAGTTTCAGGCAATCATAACTGGAATAGCTCCAAATCAACATCCTCTTTATAAAATTCAGACTTTTTAAATTTCATTACACTAAAAAAAGTCTGAGAATCTAAAGATGAAAGATACATTACTATTTACATCTGGATAATTTGGATTTCACTCACAAGCCAAAAATTTCAATGTAAACATTCAATTTGGGTGCCTCTGTTTTAGAATAGTCAAGATGAGGCACAAGAATATCTGAAAGTCACAATAAACAATTCTCTGCAGTGAAAGAAATTTTATGTATTACGTGCACATATTCTGACAATCAGAGATAATTTTAATTGTTGTATAAACTCAAAAGATTCCTTAAAAGCCAGAAGGTCTTTAAAAAAAAAAAAAAAACAGAATTTTTTGATTCCTAGGCCTGAACTCACATGATTTAAGATTGATCTATCTAATTCTGCCTACTAAAAGTGCTGTCACCCAGAGTTCTTTAAACAGTGGAGGAAGGCAACCTGTTTCCACTATGTTATCCAGCCACATTACTCATCTTCTTGAGGACTGGATTAATCATCACCATGGCATGCATACCTCACTCTTCTGACCACAGGAGAAGCCTGGAGAGATAGTTTAGATTAGATGGCTAACTTTTAAATTGCTATAGTTGCATGAAACTAATTCCAATCATAAAGATGAGTGTTTCAGTCTTTCGAGTAGGAATATTGTAGTGCTTCCAGTAATCCATCCTTTCCTCTCATTCCAAGTTTTGAACAGTATAACTATCAAACAAAATAAGAAGAAAGACAGTATAATGGTATAGTTCTGATGTAGTAGCACTGGGCGAATGGGTAACTTTCATCAGAAAGGTGGCACCTTTGATAGGCACCATTTATCTCAGAGCAAATATTTTATCTAGTTCTGAAAGTAAATGGAAATACCAAATAACACAAAGAGGAAAAGAGTACTAACCCCAGCCAGTAAATATGAACCACCACACATACTGCTTGTCTGAAACAAAGGTCAGCAAAAGCAGCGTCTGTAGGTATATCCCTTCTATGAGAAGCCAGAAGAAATTTGCTAGAATACTGAACTGGAAGAACGCCACAGCAGCCTTACAAGCAACCTGGAAATGCAGAGGAAGAAAAAACTATTAGGTCTACTGTCCATTGTGTTTGGTTCCTCTACAAGCATAGGCAAAATTCAATAATACCACACAGGAACGAATAAATTATTACAAGATTTCAGTATGTTTTGAATTCTATCATTTCAATTGACTTTACTTCAGTTTTTTGAAAGGGAAACATTGGCCTTCTCTTATAGATGAAATTCTTTACTAACAGAAATTTTTACAGCTTCATTAGAGTCAACAGACTTCTGCCTTATGTATCAAAGCTCAATGTAGCCATAGCGCTTGGTCTTTGGGTTTATGTAGTATTGTTTGGTTTAAGATTTCTGTTCTAGAAAACTAAATAGAAAAGAGATTAAGAAATCTCCGTGTTCTCTTCAGGTCAAGAATTAAATGTTAAATCAAGGATAAGAGAGAGGGGAAGTTTAGTACCGTTGACATTAGGCAGTGGTCCATAGTTTCATCTGCAAACAAAACAGCATCTTTGGTGAAAACAGCAAGTGCTCTCAGGATAAAGGAGACAAACAGGTGCATATGGATGTAGTTTCGTGTACAGTGGAATTTTCTGACATAGAAAGAGAAAATAAAAATTGTTCTTTGAGAGGAATATCTCATGGTCTCATCAAAACTCAGACAGGAATACAAGGTGACTTCAGACACCTTCCCAAGTAAATAAACAATCTGTCATTATTTGAGAGGGAGCTAGACACAAGGGAGCAGAATGCTTATTATCTGCTTAAGCTAATAAAAGTGCTAGTATAATTGTCCTTGAATCACCACACATTTAAAGGAGATGCCAGAAGCAGAGTAACTGGGAATTTTGGGCTGTATTGTAGTAATGCCTTTTAATTATTCTAATTACCATTTTTTTTAAAAAGCTTGCAACAGGCTCTTCAGCCTCTTTCTGTCCAGAGGAGAAGAGAATAGTGAGTGGGGGTCAGTCACATGTAGCTGCCTTACCCCAGACTGCGTTTCCTGTCCACAGTTTTACCTTGAGCTGAAGGAATCTCCTTCAAGGTTTGGAAGTATCAGCCTCTTGGTCCTGGGTCTCTCTAAAAGTGATATGATGTTTGAAACTGCAAATCCATCTCAGCTGGGAAGCTGCTTCTGTGCCCTGCACTCTTGGCTACGGAGTAAGCTTAAGGCTTTTGTCCAAGTGCATTGGAACCAATCAAAACCAGATCCATTTCCTAATGTTCAGCATCATCAAACATGATATTTAATTTTCTTTAATTTTCTTCTATAGCTCCCAATTATGAAAGCAATGGTCTTTCACAGAGGGAATGGACAGCTTAGAATGACTACAGGTTCAGTTTCTGCAGAGCAGGTCCTGCTATGCACTGAAGAAACAGTTATTTTACATTCATAGTGACAACAGGTTGGAGCATTTCCACTGTGTGGTAAGTTTAAAGACACTAAGACATACTGCTCAGCCAGCTTTATTTTTTAACATTTGCAGGAAAACACCACAATATTAATAAAGAAGGACCCATTGCCATCGACATTGTAATATCTGAGAAGAGTTTAAATATAATAGTAAAAAACTCACAAAACGAAAACAGAGAGGGTTTGAGATGCGTTAGGATGAGGCTGTCTTGACACATCCTGAAAAGAGATCATTTCTTTTTTTACCTGAAGGCAGCAAAGACAATTAGAGCTGTAATGAGTGAAGTCACTGATGCTGCATAGCCAGCAGTGTAGACACGCCAAAATGCAGAATAATATGATTTCTATGAGAAAAAGAGAACATAGACCAATGCTGGTGGTTATGCAGCATGGACGCTGGTGTGCTTATTTCACCAAGATACATCTGCCCTTAGTAGTCAGTCCCATCACCTGTGTGCTGCTTTGCACATTTAAGATCTGATTCAGGTTTTTCCCCTCCATCACCAACTTAACTCTTTTCTTTTGAATCCTACATAACCTTACTCCACAGCCCACAGACTCATCTGAATTAGTAACCTTTTTCAGCACATTCAACAGGAAAGTGCTACTTTTATTAAGTAACAACCTTTTCTCCTATAGGTACATAAAGACTCCAGGGCACTGAAGCTTGCTGATGGGTGATTTGTGAATTCATCACTTTAGACTTGGGCCAGATTCTACTCTGTTTAGCTCAAAGGATGTTCCCCACTGATTTGATAAGTGTTAATTTTCATAAACAGCCATAGTTAGAAATAAAAGTTACATTTTGCAGGTGAGGAAACTGAAACATTG